TGTACGAATATGCAAACTAATATCGATAATTTGATATGATGTATTGTTCAGGATATATAGTATCAATACATACATATATATTAATAAATAAATATATATATATATATATGTATATTGAATACATTAGGATTATTATCAATAACATTTTTTTGATTATTATTACTGAAACGTTACAGTTTTTTTTCTAATTATGCGTTACTAAATAAAAAATGCGTTTTATTTTATTTATGTCTCTATTCTTATTCTTCTTCTTATGCTTGTATTAATAAGTTACAAGCGGAATACGATGTTTTAAGCAACTGAAATGATAAAAAATATTTTTGTGACCATTATAAATGCGCTTATATTTATAAATAAATCAATAGTAATGTATTTATATAAACCCATTTACAAACTATTTTTATTTACTTTACATTTAAGTTAAATTTATGTACTAAAGCAGTTTTTTGTGTCTCTCTTTTTCTCTCTTTATTATTTAAATGTAACTAAATGAGAAATGAACAGTGGAGTTTTTATTAATCAATTAGATCGTACACTAACAATAAGATAAATTTTTATATACTAACCCCTACGAAAGATTCCAAATTCAAGGTAATGATATATGCAGTACAAATTTCGATGGGTATTGTCGAACGTTTCATCATTATTAAAAGACTCTTTTTAACATTATTATTCAAAATTGGCCAATTTACTTGAAATATTTTATCCGCCAGTTGAATACTCTGTAGTAAACAAAAATATATAATACAACATTTTATTTATAATATCTAACACAATTCTTATTTCACTAGATATACCTCTACTTTGACTTTGTTTCCAAACCAGCAATAAATAAATATCTGCGTCAACATGCAGGATGTGTACATAACTAATGAAATATGGTCTGCGTCTAAAGGCGACTTGGTCAGTTGATACAAATTGGAACAAATTACCATCATGCTCGCCGTAAACTGAAATCCAATTATATGTGTAAATCTTGTATTCACCAATCGCGCAAACCTGTAATCCATTTTCGATTTTAAAATGCCATATTACTCTTATCAAGCCATTAAAATTTGTTGTGCTAATTAATAGGTGAATTTTATTATTATTTGTTACAATTTTCCTAATTATGAAATATCTAACGGATTAACGGAAAAATTAACGATTTAAGAAAGCGCTAGTAAAATATAATAAATGAGATAATGATAGAAGTGGATAATTCATATCTAAAAAAATTTTATATCCAATTAAGTTTTGATATTACACACAAAACTTTAGATATCTTTTTCTTCATAATTACGGCACAAAGAATATATAAGATAAAGAAGAAAATATGACTTTTACCACAATATTATTCAATAATTCACACATAATAACAATAACTAGCTGACAAATAATTTTTCGGATTTTAATGTGATAACTAACTCATAAATCCAGTCGTGATGGCGTACGCAATAGCCCAGAGAAATTTGATTTATCGTGAGTTTCTTCAAGCGATATTCTAAGATCGCAATCTGGCAACACACATGCATTAAGAAACTGCATATGAGGGTATCGCAAGCGACATTCACGGTAGCGACGTGGAAAGTAGTTGACATTTGCTGAGCGTATGTAAAACAAAATGTCAAGAAAGACGAATAATCATACGGTACCCATTCTCTGTACGTTAACCTTCTATGTCTAAAGTCAGTTAACAATGATGTCGAAGCGATGAACGAGCACGTCGTTTCGATCAAGAGTGTGTAACGTAATGTATTATTTCTAGAAAGTTGAAAAAAGATAGTTATATCAGTATTATTTTTAATAGGAGTTTTGATATGAAGCTTTCAACATAATTATTTTTACTTATAAAATAGATAATATGTACTATTAACACAATAGCATCAATTAAACTTGATTTTACTATAAACTAAAGAAGACATAATTTATATATTTGTTATTTCAAATATATATTTATAATTTCTCTTATATTTCAAATTTTAATTGATATAAGGCAAATGTTGAAAAAAATTAAGCTATAATCTTAAATGTATTTTTAAAAATACGTTTGTAATTAAGACGATAAATATAATGTAAAATACCTAAATATATTTTTTAAATAACTTAAACATAAGATATATTTACCGTATTATTCTATCAAATCGCTGTCGAATTTCTATCTCGCCTGGATCCAATGGCTTGAACGGTTCTTTAGTAAGATAATTGATTAAAGTTGAAATTCTTTCATAATTAAACCACATGACAAGTATTTTATAGCATGCAGCAGATGATGTTAACATCATGTTTAAAGTGTCAGTAAAATTGTCAGCATTATCGACGTTTAGAACAACGTCTATAAATTGCGATATTGAAAAAAAGAATAGCATACTAATTACGTATAATCTGTAGATATTGTAAACTGTTCGTTTAAACAAAGATGTCCACGATAGCGGTCGAAAACATCCAGCGATTATAACAATTGTACATGTCAATTTCAGAACTTGCATTTTCAATTCTAATTTAATTTACAGATATACATACAATCGCATCCAAATGCGAAACGTGTACTATAAATTCTGGTAGTATTTGTATAATTTTGGTAATTTTTAAACAATATATGTATCGATTTGAAGATAAAATTTTAGACTGACAGAATTTCTATTGCACGGAAAGTGAGATCAAGTAACATAATCTCAAAAGAGGGTGCACTTAGGACTGTCTATAGACTTGTGATGCTATTCTCCGACTGTGAAGGCAGTCTTTTCGTCGGCAATATTTTCTCTTTTCTTTCCTGCATATTTAATATCTATCTATCTTCATAATATCTAAAGTAAACGTCTCTAAGTCTCTAAGTAATTTTGACGTCAATTAACTGACAGAACTACTTTGACTTTGTAACTTTTGTATACTCTATATTTTCATATCACATTTATATAAAAAATAATATTATAATATAATAGAAAGAAAAGAAAAATTCTCCAAAGGAAAATATTTTATCAATAAAGCACGAGATGCGAATTATCTCTATACATATACAGTGACATATATATGTCACTTCACGATATATCGATGACGCGAAATATTTTATTTATTATTATCTCTACCTAGAACTCGACACGGTCATCATCCGTTCTTACTCACAATAGAGACGAAAAAAATCATACGAGAGATACGCATAGAGAAAATTGCAATCAAACGTGCATGATAATTTACGTTCTACAATACAAACGGGCTTTATCTTACAATATACTAGTAAAAAGAATGATAAAGAGAAAAAAAATGAAGACTTAATAATCTCCGATTTTTTATGACGTTATGTGTCCATAGGTATAGTGATCTAACTACACTTTTGATTTTTTAATCCATGTGATTTTTTTATTTTCCCCTAATCATTCTGCATTTAAAAGTAAAAAGATAAGATTATCGAAAAAAGTGTGTGAGTGCTATTTTGTATTTTTTATTTTGATATACTTTTGTGTATGAAATAAAAAATAAGCGCGTACAACTTTTAATAATGTGCCAAATTATTTTTATATTTGTTCGTGTAATATAAAAGTTTTATATATTTTTTAAGATATTTATTAAAACAATTGGTGCATATCTATACATGTATTATTAATATGTTTAACAGATTGTACAAAAATTATTGCACTGAAAACAATTTGTGTGTAGCTTACACTATTGTTCTTGTACTTGTACTAACACATTATAAGCAGAGTATGACGTTTTGAGCAACTGCAAAAATAATCATAAATACATCAAAAATTGTATCAAATCTTTATGAAGTCCAAAATCAAAATTTGTAACTTATTGTGTTGTCTATCTAAAATCTATGATTTTTGACCATGATAAATATTGCTCATGATAATGTATTATGACAAAATTATTTAATATGGCATTCTTAATTTTATTTACTACAAGCTATGAATCTTTCTCTATTTTTCTTATTTCTCAGGAAAAACATCAGTAAAAATACGACCAAAAAAAAAAAAAAAATAAAAAGTTAGAACTTAGTAGCTAGAAAAATTAGATGCGTGATGATTAGATAGTATTATGTTCCATTTAATACTAACCCCTACAAAAGAGTTTAGATTCACCTTAAGAAGATACGCACTGATAAATTCAATAGGTATCATTGCGCGATTCATAATTATTAAGAGACTTTTTTTGATTTTATTGTCTAATGTTATCCATTCGAGTTCGAAGATACTATCGACAAGTTGAAGGCTCTACAAATTTTTTAAGATAACTTTTTTCACACATGAAATTTTATAATGTCAAATCGTATTTGCGTATAAAGATGTAATTATGCGTTTAATAATATTGAACATACGTACCGTTAACTTCAGTTTATTTCCAAACCAGCAGTAAATAAAAATTTGTACAAGTATGCAGGACATATATGAGATCATTGAAATTTGGTATGCGCCTAATGTCATTCTCGTCAATTGGTACAAACTCGAACACACTACAAATGTACTGACTAAAAATTGAAACGCGATTATCTTGTTGAATCTCGCGTTAGCCGCACGTGCGTATCTGCAAACAAAATTTTTTTAGTTGCATCCGAAAGGTAGAAAGACAAAAACGATTATCACATTTAATAAAAAATGAAGAAGTTAATATAAAGAATCAGAAATTGCAGCAGATAATAAATTATGAATGTCCGACATATAAATATAATAGAAATTTTATATAATTTTTGGAATTTAAAAAGGTATCTTAAGTAAACGAAAAGAATTGTATTTTAAAATATATGGCAAAGGGGATATAGGATTAATTATATTAAAATATCTTATAATTATATGAGTTTTATAAAATTCTTATGAGGACTAACTCAATTATATGATGATGATGGCGTACACAATCGCGTAAAATATTCTGATTATTTGTAATATTTTTCAAACGATATTTTAAGATTTTTATCTGACAGCACAGATGCAGTAGCAAACCGACAATGAGACTGTCGCAAGAAATGTTAACGATACATGCGGCGGTCACGCCTAAGTACTGATGAATATATGTGAGACAAAATATCACGTACGACGAATAATCGTACGGTATCCATTCTCTGAATGTTAACTTCCTTTTTCTAAAGTTCGTCAATAACGATAGCAAGATATTACCTGCGCACGATAATATGATCATGGCAGTATAACACATTGCGTAGGTCCTGGAAATAGTAAAGGATATAATTTAATTTTCATCATCTAATTTAATTTTGTTCCCTTATTTCTGTTTTTAGCTCGCACGATAAATTTTTACTGCAATATAAAAATGGAGCTCTCACTGTATAAAGTTTTTATATTACAAATACATGATATACATAAAATATAAGCAATTTTTTTTTTCTCGTAGATATAAAAATATCCAATAAATATTATATTCAGAATGCATTAAATTTATCAAAGAATATTTTAGAGGCAAAAATGCTTTGGCAATTTTACAATACTGTACATTCCGTATTTAAAATTAATTAACGTTATTACTTCAATTATTATTATTACAAGATGTCATATTTTTTTAATACATTATGTTTGGGTATGCTTACTGTATCATTTTGTCGAATTTTCGTCGAATTTCAATTTCGGCAGGTACCAGCGGTTTAAACAAACCCGCAGTAAGGTCTCGAATTAACGCTGCGACACTCTCGTGATTCATCCACATGCTGAATATCTTGTAGCACGAAACGCACATAGTCATCATCGTGTATAGAGTGCTAGCGAAATCGTCAGGATTATCGACGTTCAGAATAAGATCCATAAATTGCGTGAATGTAAAACTGCATAAGAAGCTTATTATCAACAATGTATAAGCGTTATACAGTGCATGCTTAATCAGTGATGTCCACGAGAACGGTCGCCAGCATCCAGCGATTGCGAGAATCATGAGTATAAATTTCATCACGCTCATTTTTAGAGTCCTTAAATAGCCTTACAATAAATAAAGGCTTTTATAGCTGAAAAATACACTATCAGTTTTAATTTTAATACACACATCAACTATGTAACGCGTAAAACGCTGTAAAGTTTTGTATGCTCTTCGATATCTAATATTCCATTGATATCAATTACAGGATAAAATCGTCATCGTTAATGAGTGAGTTGACTTCATGAAAATTCCAGAGTATCTATAGCCCATGTAACCCTGAATTCTTTTCGATAAGTAGCATTATTATTATTGTAATAGCGAGCTAGGAGCGATGTTTTCCGCGAACTAACATCTTTGAAAAAGTGCAATCTAGTATCTATATATATATTATGATGTAGGCTGTAAACAAAATTCAAGAAGGAGAATTCAAACGTATAATCTTGATACATCGTCGTACGCGCACATTCATTACAAAATATTTTATTCATTACTGTCGTACTGTGTAATTTTATTTTACCTCGATCTGATATTATCTGGCTTTTTTTCTTCTACAAACCTCTATGTATTTTTAATTGATTATGAGTATAAACTCGGAAAGCGCAAGGTAACTTCAATTAACAATTTATGTTTCTACAATGTGGCGTATATCGCACATAAATAATATTTCGAACGAATAGATATAATAATTGGGTAATCTGTTCTACCATATCTGATCTTTACTTTACGACACACAATAGTTTCTTACTAATATGTGAAACATTTGAAAAATGTAGTGTTTTATTATATTACTTGTAATTCCGTATACTTTTGTAACAAAAAAACTATTTTTTTCACAGGTACATTATTATTAATTTTAATTTGCCAATTATTAATACACATTAAATACTATTTATATATTTAGCATATATTATATATTGCGCATATATACATCATTTTCTTTGCATTGGTTTTATAACCGTTGCAACAACGTGTATGCAGAGTACGATGTTCTAAGTAACTGCAATAAGTAAGTATATTTAGAATTACTTAAAAAAAAAAAAAAAAAAAAAAAAAACATTTTTTAGAGTCACAAAATCAAACAATCAATTTTTTTAGTGATAGTGCAATATAAATTAAAAACTTAAAATCTCTCTATATTTAATGAAATTATTAGTGTAAAATGCAAATGTGTTAGGTGTGTACAAACTCTAAATATAAAGCTAAGGGGAAAAAAAGAAAAATAACATAAGCAATGTTTCATCAATAAAATCGGCTACAAAAATTATAAATTTTCTCAATACTAACCCCTACAAAAGATTCAAGATTCATGGAAAACAGATAGGCGCTGGTAAACTCGATTGGTATCGTTGCTCGATTCATAATCATTAGAAGAGTTTTCTTGAAATTATTATTCAGTTTTGGCCAATTCATTTCAAAAATACGATCGGTCAATTGAAGACTCTACAAATACAAAAAAACAATAAGACAATACTTGCGTAATATATTGTCATAATTAATTAAGACCTTTCAAAGAATTATTGAAATATTTTTTCGTTAAATATTAATTATATATATATATATATAAAATTAATATTTAATGAAAAAATATTTCAACAATTCTTATACGTGTATATATATGTGTGTTTACGTATACCTTTAATTTGACTTCATTTCCAAACCAACAGTAGATGAAAATTTCTATCAGCATGCAGACTGTATATAATACTAGTGGAAGATATTCTGCGCTCATTGTTGTCTGGGCTAATTGATACAAATTGGAACATACCACTAGCGTGCTCGTTATGAATTGAATAGCGATTATTTTTGCGAATCTATTGTTCACCACGAAGGCGAAGCTGCAATTCAGTAAATAAACTGTATATCGAAAACAAATAATGATGAACTATTCGTATATATTTGATGATAACAAAATAACTTTTATTTTTTTGTCGAAAATATAAATTTAAAAATTTAAAAATACATTTAAAAAATAAACACAATGTGTTAAGTATTTTCTATTTTTTTTTTTGTTTTTAATAACCTCATTACACTATAATAATAAAAAAATCTTTATTCTTATATATATATCTTCACAAGGAAGATAATTCCAATAATTAATACTAATTGCAGAAACTAATGTGCATTAAAAAATTAAATTAAAAATGTAATAATTAGTACAAGATAATTTTAAATATTGAAAGAATTATAAATTTGAATAGGTCCCATATAAATTAGCATGATCTTTGCCCATGATTCATAAACATCAAACCGCTTACGAAACTAACTCAAATATAAGGTCGTGGTGACGTACGCATTCGCGCAAGGTTTCCCAAGTATGTGACTTGTTGTTCAGCCGGTGTTCCAATATCTCGATCTGGCAGCAAACGTGCAGCAGGAGCCCGCAGATGAAGCAATCGCAGGCGAGGTTGACCAAAGCGCTCGTTGCCATGCTTGTCAATTGATGAGCGTACGTGATGTAGAATAACACGGGGGACGAATAATTGAACGGTAACCATGCCTTGTACGTTAGGTTCCCTCTTCTGAAGTTTGTGAATAGGGAAGTCAGAGCTATACATACGCACGTCGACCCGACCAGAACGAAGCAGTATAACGTGTTGTTCCTGTAAAATAATATTTGAAATTTGTTAGATAACTCTTAATCCGATCACTCTCATTTTATTTGTTCCAAGAATCTTCATCAATATTTATTTCGAGGATTTAGTTGACATAGTTCATTGATACATTGCTATTTTTTCCGACAATCTTTTTTTACTATTATTATTTATTAGTTACATTACAAAATATTTATCCTAATAATTTTATATACAAAAATATAATTAAATAACACTTACCGTACCATTTTGTCGAAATTTTGGCGAATTTTAATTTCGCCGGTTATCATCGGTTTAAACGGCTTTTCGGTAAGAGTATTAACAATGTCCGCTACGTTTTTACGGTTTATTAACATATTGGATATCTTAAAGGATGCGACGCACACAGTCATCATTATGTACAAAACGCTAGTAAATTCCTCGGGATTGTCGACGTTTAGAACAATGTCCATGAATTGGGAAATCGCGAACGTGTACAATAAAAGAACCAGAATTGCCGTATAAATGTTGTAGAGTCTGTATTTGTACAAGGATGTCCATGACACTGGTCGCCAGCATCCGGCGAGCGTCAAAAATACGAGAGTGAATTTTAACAGATCCTTTTTAGCTCTATCTTCGGCTTTATCGTGCCGAGTAACGTCAAGTTTCTTTTGAACACTAGAACCGTCGGAAATTAACATTTGTCTAAGGTAACTATTACTCATTCCAGGTACAAAGAAAGGAAATCTTTCTATAAAGTTGTGAGAAACTGATCTTTTCTATTCACATCAGTGATGTAAAATTACATTGTCATTTAAAAGCTATGAAAATGAAGTTTGCTATGACTTATCAGAAATTGAAAATCATGCACACATGAATTGAGAAAGGTTTTGTAGAAAATAGTATAAACAAATTTTAGTCGTGATGGATAATAACGAACAGTATTTTATACAAGACTGGTCACCTTAGGATTTCTATAGACATTGTCTATAGACAACATTTTTCTGTCTATATTCCTTATTTGATTGTTATGTCATTATCGTAATATAGAAATTAGTGATATTGCATTTATTGAAAAGACATTTTTATTTCAGATTGACTCGCCGGTGGAAATTTTTGTTGAATGTAAATTTTATGCAACAATGATATATAATGCGATACTGTTCTCGATGAGAAAAAGCAAAATATATAGCGAGATATATATAACAGAAGAGACGTTCCTGTTTGGCTTATAGACCATTGTCGATCATTTGTCTCCATGCAATCTTGATGAAGGTAATTTATCACATTTGCTAAAAATTATTTTATTTTACTTTTACTGAATATACTTGCTCAGTATTGTCTTGTGTTGCTGCAAGTCGCAATCTATTCTGCTCCTCCTATCGATTTCCACATTTACATTTACTGAGACAAGATAAGTACAAATAGAAAGGCGTATCTGTATATAATGAATGTCTAATAAGCATACTTTTAAAAAAATGTATTCATATTTTGGCAATCGTGAACGAAAAGTGTTGCATTTCCTGATATTTGTTCATATCTGCAGAATTCTATTTTATTTATAAATCATTCTAATTTTTAATTTCTTAGGAAATTTTTTAATATTTTTTAATATGTTATATTAATATCGTACTAAATATAAATAAAATCTAACTATTTAACTTATGATCAACGTACGTATTTAATCGCAAGTATCATACTTCAATTTTAAGCAATCGAAGGCAGTATTGATAAAAAATGTAGGTACAAGACAATACGAAAAATACAAACTAATAACATTTTTTTATTTATACAATATATATATATGCAATCGCGCAAGAAACTACAACTCCACCATCACGGGATGTATTTACGCTTATTGTTTAGTATTTTTTGATACGCACCGCGTGTGCTCACGTTTTGGGTACTACTTCTCCCTTTCTCTTTCTCTCTCTATCTTTAAGGACATTATTATTTTTTTCTACATATGCTGAAGTATACTATACACCGAATACGATGTCTTAAGCAACTAGAAGAGATGTTAATTTTTAAATAGTGCTATTGAAAATTATTAAAGCCATAAAAATAAATTTATTTCTGACCTTTACGAAAGAGTCTAGATTCACTGTAACAATATGTATGCTAGAAAATTCGATTGGCCTCAGAGAACGATTCATAATCATTATAAGATTCTCTTTCATTTTTTTGTCTACCTTTATCCAATCCATTCCGAAAATCTCATCAGATAATTGAATGCTCTGCAATGAAAGTTGTTAGATAAACATAAATGATGGAATAATACAGGGTAAAATTTTTTTATTATAGCTATAAAACAATTTAATTAGTATATATATATGTATTGGTATTATGTAACGTTTTAAAAATTAGTTTGTATTTTTATCATAAATCTCTAATTTTCTAGAATTTTCTTATCACACATAAACATACATTGACAAAATATTCTCAATGCTTACACGATTATGCACTTAATCAATACCTTTAGTCTTACTTCATTCCCGTACCAACAATAAATAAGAATTTGTAAAGCTATACAGAATGTGTACAGCATTAATGGAATACATTCCGCGCTCAATGTTATCTTGGCCATTTGATACAAATTGGAGCACACCACTAACATGCTCGCTGTGAACTGGACGGCAATTATAACCCTGAATTTTTCGTTTACCATGTATGCAAATCTACGAAAGAAAAATATTATTAGTTCATTTTTTTAATTATTATATTATTGCAAAACTTACGATAAGATATAAGTAATGACTGATTAAATTAGATAATCCTGTCTTAATTAATGTATAATTTAAATCTAAAACCAAATATATAATAAAACAAAACATGCAATATAACTTTACAAAAATGCAAGTTTATTATTATTTTAGAAATATATTAATCTATTGTCACATAATTCATGTTTTAATTTCATAATAGTCTTAATCAATTCTAACTCAGCGTACTTTTTTATAAAATTCATATTATATTTTATAGCAATGCAATAATTTAAAAAAAAAGTAAAACAGCTATAAAACAGTTAAAATATTTTTTGACATTATCATATTTTTGATCAAATAAAAAAGTATTTAAATTATGCACGTAAAATATATAGAAAAACTGACTTATAGATACGGTCGTGTTCATGTACACATTCACCCAAACTGCCTCGACCGCGTAAGCATTTCTTCAACCGACACTCCAAGATCTCGATCTGGCAATAAATATGCAACAGCAATCCGCAGATCAGACAGTCACCGGCAACGTTCACGGCGCATCCAGCCGTCATGCTTATTAATTGACGAAAGTAAATAATATAAAACATTATACCGGATGAATACTCATATGGTATCCACTCCCTGTATGCTAAATTTCCTCTCCGGAAGTCCGTAAAAAAGGATGATATATTCATGCACGTACATGTCGTCTCGAGCATGATAGCATACCATATAGTATTGGTCCTGCAAAATGACTATAGGGGCTGGGATAATTCGCGACGATTTTGCTTTGTATTTTCCTCCTTTAATTAATACAAGAAGAAATATACTTTTTCTATTTAGATGGCAAAAAAAGAAAAATATTTTATTTATTTATTTCTCTTTTATTAAAAATATCGTATTTTGTATTTTTTTGCCATACTTATCGAGATTTTAAGTGCATGTCAAACTTATTACTTATTGATTCTAACGTATATGTCAAATTTATTATGAAATTGATGCAGTCGTAAAATTAAAATATACATATAAGTATCTTTGATAAAACACATAAAAATAAACACATAGCATTTACTGCAGCACGCAAATCTCTCAGTTGCTTACTGTATGATGTTCTCGAATTTCTGTCGAATTTTGATCTCATCCGATTCCAATGGTCTAAATGGTTTCTCCATTAACGCATTGGTTAATATCTCGATGTTTTTACGATTCATTAGCAGACCAAGCATTTTGGCGCAAGCCATCATCATAGCCAGCATTAGGTAAAGAGTATCCGTGAAATCGTCGGGATTTTTGATATGCATGATGACATCCACGAATTGTGGCACCATAAAGGTGAACAGTAGTAAACATACGAGAATTGTATATGTGTTGTATACTATTTGTTTGCACAGCGAGGACCAGGAAACTGGTGGCCAACATCCTGACACCATAAGAAGTTTCAACGGAACTCGCATAACACGCATTTTTTGAAATTTCTTACTCGATTTCTCTTGTATTAAATTAAATGCCTATAATGTTTTGTATTGTATTTCTACAATTCATATATACTGTGTAACATAAAATTATAAAAAAAAAATTTTTAAAGAAAAAAACAATATATTTATAAAATCTTTAAATGTTGTATATCTACATAAATTTATTGCTTTAAAAAATCATATTATACAAAAATGCAGCTTTTAACGTTATATAAGAATATTGCACTTCGTCGACAATTTAGACTTTACTTTTCTTTCAATTCTAATAAACGAGATATCAAATAAATAAGATTTGATTTTTATATTTGTATGCAATAATTTCAGAGAAATTGTTTTTTTTCAAATTCTAACAAAATTAAAATTACTCTTGCATGCAAATATCTTATTCGTATATGAAAAATATCAAATAGTCTCGTAGATTTTGCATACACACTGATATTTTTTAAAACAATAATACGAACTTCCGAAGAATCTTACAATGAAGAACGAGAATTTGCTATGACTTATCAGAGATTGAAAATCATGCACATATGAATTGAGAAAGGTTTTGTAGAAAATAGTATATATAAATTTTAGTCGTGATGAATAATAACGAACAGTATTTTATACAATACTGGTCACCTTAGGATTTCTATAGATATTGTCTATAGACAACATTTTTTTGTTCATATCCCCTATTTAATTGTTATTCCATTATCGTAATATAGAAATTAGTGATATTGCATTTATTGAGAGGACATTTTTATTTCAGATTGACTCGTCGGTGGAAATTTTTGTTGAATGTAAATTTTATGCAACAATGATATATAATGCGATACTGTTCTCGATGAGAAAAAGCTAAATATATAGCGAGATATATATATATATATAATAGAAGACGGATGCGTTCCTATTTGGCTTATAGACCATTGTCGATCATTTGTCTTCACGCAATCTTGATGAAGATAATTTATCACATCTGCTAAAAATTATTTTATTTCACTTTTACTGATTATACTTGCTCAGTATTGTTTTGTGCTGCTGCAAATCGCAATCTATACTGTTCCTCCTATCGATTTCCACATCTACATTTACTGAGACAAGATAAGTATAAATAGAAAGACGTATCTGTACATAATGAATGTCTAATAAGCATACTTTTAAAAAAATGTATTCATATTTTGGCAATCGTGAACGAAAAGTGTTGCATTTCCTGATATTTGTTTATATCTGCAGAATTCTATTTTATTTATAAATCATTGTAATTTTTAATTTCTTAGGAAATGTATTTTTTAATATGTTGTATTAATATCGTATTAAATATAAATAAAATCTAGACATCAAATCTACACTCATGGTCAACGTACATATTTAATCGCAGTTATCATACTTTGATTTTTAAGCAATCGGCAGCATTTTGATAAAAAATGTAGGTACAAGACATAATACGAAAAATTCAAACTAATAATATTTTTTTATTTATACAATATATATATGCAATCGCGCAAGAAACTACAACTCCACCATCACAGGTATTTTACGCCTATTTTTTGATACGCACCGCGTACTCACATTTTGGTACTACTTCTCTTTTTCTCTCTTTCTTTCTATCTTTAAGGACATTATTGTTTTTTTCTACATATGCTGAAGTATACTATACACCGAATACGATGTCTTAAGCAACTAGAAGAGATGTTAATTTTTAAATAGTGCTATTGAAAATTATTACTGCCATAAAAATAAAAATTACATACAAATCAATAGCAAGTGGGAGCCAGCGCGGCAGTTGGTGCGCATACTTTATTTAAATATCTACTAAATCGAATCGTTTAATTTTATATCACGCTGAAGAAAGTCCCGAAAAGGACCGAAATGTACGTTTAATTATTTCGTTTAATAATTTTTTGTAACGTCGTAAATCGACATTCAATTTAGTAGATATTTAAATAAAGTATGCGCACCAACTGCCGCGCTGGCGCCCACTTGCTATTGATTTGTATGTGATTTTAAATTTAAGCGAGCCTGTACTTCTTGTTTTATTGCATAAAAATAAATTTATTTCTGACCTTTACAAAAGAGTCTAGATTCACTGTAACAATATGTATGCTAGAAAATTCGATTGGCCTCAGAGAACGATTCATAATCATTATAAGATTCTCTTTCATTTTTTTGTCTAGCTTTACCCAGTCCATTCCGAAAATCTCATCAGATAATTGAATGCTCTGCAATGAAAGTTGTTAGATAAACATAAATTGGAATAACACAGCGTAAAATTTTTTATTATAGCCATAAAAAAAAAAATTTAATTATTATATTAGGTCTACCGGAAAGTTCTGTCCGTTTTTGGAATAAAACAAAATACAAATTTTTATTACCGTCAATAAACTTTATTAAATAATGTAATTGCCATTATTCGGAGAAGTATTGTCAGCAACTGGATAATTTAAATACAGCAGTCCAAGAAAAGAGGCCGCCGATGTTCAATAGGAAGAACATCATACCGCATCATGATAATGCCAGGCCACATGCTGCTTTGGATACTCGTCAAAAAATTGCAGAACTAGGCTGGAAAATTCTGTCGCATCCACCATATTCCCCGGACTTAGCACCCTCCGACTATCACTTGTTTTTGTCCTTACAAAATTTTTTGAGGGGCAAAAAATTCAAAAATGAAGAAGATATCAAACAAGCACTGGTTCAATTTTTCGCATCAAAAGATAAAACATTTTTCGAAAAAGGGATATACAAATTGCCCTCACGCTGGCAAGAAATCATTAATAATAATGGCAATTACATTATTTAATAAAGTTTATTGACGGTAATAAAAATTTGTATTTTGTTTTATTCCAAAAACGGACAGAACTTTCCGGTAGACCTAATATAATATCGGTAAATATGATATATTGTTGGGAACAGAAAAGGTCGCGGGAAAATCAATACGAATTTTACCACATTGTCAATTCGTTATGCTTTAATTATTCCGCGACGCGCAATCGCTATCGGACAAAAAAAAACATTCGGACGGGAAACGTGATAATTTATAGCGAGCGTAAACGCAAAACGTAACGAGACTTTTATTATTGAAACCTAGGGTTACACAATTCTCCATCCCACTCGTTGCCGGTGAAAAAACTCCACCGCGTCTCTGACTTTAAGCCGACGGAAGGACGCGCTTTAATTGGACTCGTTGAAAGCGACACGGGACAATACCTCATTGCTATCCATTATTCTTTGTCGGATTATTGTTCGTTGCCTATCTTCAAGCTCGCGGCTCGAAACATGCGCGTCAATAGCATTGCTCTGCAATTGGCGCAAACGCATAATCACGTTTCGCCTCGAGAGAAAGGAAAAAGAAGTATTACGTAATTAATTAATCATTATACAATCTTGGTTGCTGTTACCAACAAGTACTATTTCAATATAGATTTAATGTAATAATAGATTCCATAGAGTTGGTACATAAATTATTTGATTTATTAAATATTTTATGTGTTCTATTTTCAATTATTCCGGATTGTTCCCCTTCGAGATGAATCAGCTTTCATGATGCAGAGTCACGAAGAGGTCGCGATCGTAATTTCGGTCGAGACAAGATCGTGAGAATCCCTTAGGTTAAATCTAATCCGAGCAGGAGGAAGATTAATGGAGGTGACGTTACTTGTAGTTCGCGTTTGCCCGTTTGTTCCTTCGAAAACTAAATGTCGACCTCAAGATTGAAACAAGAATAAGGCGGAAGAGAATCTTGGAAACATTGATGATGACTCATCTTTATTGCTCATATTAATACCGAGATCCTTAACTATACGATGATTAATCTCGCGATTAATCGTATCACTTTTTTACGAGCAAATGTCAAACAAGACGAATGTATATTTCGAAAAATATTAATGACTAATTTTATCAAAAAAATAGAAATAAAAAATTAAAATAAAATTGGACAAAATAATTTGATTGTGTCATAAATTATAAAAATTATATCGATTGTTAATAAAATTTATTCTATCGTAATAAACACGGTCGATGAAAAACATTTTGTAGAGTGTCAAACGCATAATGAAGTATCTTCGATGATAAGAAATATAACGACGTGAAATCTTACAAAGGTACGAGACCGAATTTATCAGGCGTCGCTTCGCGAAACTTCGTTTTTCGTGTCGAAAAATGTTCTTCGCGAGCAGGTAAAGCCGTCCTTTTTGATTACGCGGTTTACGTTCCGAATGTAATTAAGGTAACGAATATCGCGCGCAGGAAAGATGGGAGCGTGTTTCGTTGTCTCGACCAGTTTTTGCTCGCACTCGAATGTCGCCTCTTTAACACAGTAAAGGTCTCCAGGAAGACAGGAGTGACTGAAGAAGGAAAGAAAGAGGAGGGAAGAGAGTAGGGCGAAAAGAGAATCGAAGTTCCCGACAGCACTCCGTGGGACCCTCGGGGCCGCGCTTAATTGGATCGAATCGAGTCGAGGCAACGACGAGGAAGAGTCACCGCTCGTACGCTCGTTTCGCGTCTTAAATTTCAATTATTTCGAACTGCGATCAGAGACCCTTGGATCAAAACGTCGGTTTATTTGTCGTTAATAAAACACAAACGCTTTCCTTCTGACTGGACTGAGATTAATTGGAAAAACTTGGAGCGTTTGAACTCGCTAAAATAACTAACGTTCGATTCCAGATTATACCTCTGTTGTGAGCGATATCTTTAATGTAAGTTCTATCTCTTCTTTTTTTGTGATGCGAGCAAGAGAATTTAACAATAAATAAAGTTAATTGGAAAGATACTTTTAAAGAAGACAGATTTTTTTTTTATATAAATTAGAAAATATGTAAGAGATACACGGAGAATATTTTATATTTATATATACACACACACTATATTTATGCATTAATATAAAATTGATCACTTACTGTGGAAAGAGACGTTTAATTTAAAAAATAACAAATAAAATAAATTAAATAAATTGTAAATTACTCATCTCACAGTTACTCCTCGCTGTCGCCCAATGCCTCTCTTTCCCCTCTTGCTTCTCCTTTGCTGCCCTTTTATGACACTTTTGCATGACACTCACGAAAACACGGTTAATTACGATCACGGGCGCACTAATTGGTGGAATACGACGATCGCGTGACACTTTACAGGGCGCTTCCAATGTATAATCATCGTGCGCGACACGCACTTTATTTCATTGATGAGAGAACAACGTGAAAATTATGGCGCTCGAAAATTTTGCTATTCAAATTCACGCGTCACTTGCTGCGGTGACATTTAACAGATAATATACACTTTCGTTTTACAATTACTCACCTGGTATTATAAAGTTTGGAATACGAATTAAACATAAATATTCAAGGATTGTGCAATATTCAAAGATATAGTTAAGTTTGTCGACTGTTTGCACGACTAATTTTGAATAAATTTTGCGGGATATGCGTTTTGACAAATTGCAACGATGGATTATAGAAACGCCAAATTTATTATGCGCGATTGATAAATATTAAAATGTAGGATTAATAACGCAGGAAAAAAAATATTAAAATGCAGGATTAATGTACTTATTATAATTGAACATATCGCGACGCTGTTCGATCAGCCTCGTAAACGCAAACGTTTTGTTAATGACCGTAAATGGCATTGGCGACTTCACTTTGATATCGCGCGATATTACGCGAGTCGAGTTAATGGCTAGTTGAGAGGCAATGTACCGTCCCGAAATATATATAATCGAAATTCACGATATTGCATGCGAGATACATAATAAATCCCGCGAAATAAATTATTAATTAACGGTCGATATATCATCGGTTTTCCTTTACTTGTATTATTCGATCCGGTAATCGTATATTACTCCCGATAATTATAGGCAAATAATGCTTAAATCGGTGAAAAATTTTAAACGCGGTATATATTCATATCTAAATAAATTAAAGAAATAATTATCGTTTTAAATATTGAGAAATAAAATAATAATTACCCTTCCCTAATGCTTCATTTTCTTCTCGTCCATATTTTAGAAAAATAAATTGGTAGCGACATATTATCGTAGTATTTTTCGAGACACGATCGTGAGAAGTACTGGAAGACGTCAAATGCGTAATAATTACAATTATTGGTTATTAGTTAGCGTGATTCGTATGAACATTGCGACGACAGCTATTTATCGAAGCAATATTTCGCGTAATATATTTGGAAGAAGAATCTCGGAACGACATGAGATGGAAATTATAAATTGTTTTGTTATGATAAAACAAATAAGTTAATTTGTTAGTAATTGTAAAATGTTTACGGGCATATAATGACTTCTTTAAATATACCTCGAATATATTTTGCCTCGCGCTGTAATTTGAATTTTTCGCTTGTTTTCAAATGTAATTAACCCATCATTTTCATATCAAAAATTTTGAGTAATATACAAACCAGGGTAAAATAATTCACATAATGAAAAGCCCCGTGATATATCGATCGTTTATTAATATAATGCATTTATATATTCCGCGGTATTTATATATCGCGTGTGCAATATTGAATTTTGAATGACGTATTTTTGGACGGCACAACGGATCTTTTGACTAATCATTTACTTGAATGGTATCGCACGATATCAAAGTGAGATTGTTTGTGAATGATATTTTCAAGTTTTTTGATGATTAATGATACATGTCGTGGTACATTGCCTCTCAACTAGCCATTAACTCGACTCGCGTAATATCGCGCGATATCAAAGTGAAGTCGCCAATGCCATTTACGGTCATTAACAAAACGTTTGCGTTTACGAGGCTGATCGAACAGCGTCGCGATATGTTCAATTATAATAAGTACATTAATCCTGCATTTTAATATTTTTTTTCCTGCGTTATTAATCCTACATTTTAATATTTATCAATCGCGCATAATAAATTTGGCGTTTCTATAATCCATCGTTGCAATTTGTCAAAACGCATATCCCGCAAAATTTATTCAAAATTAGTCGTGCAAACAGTCGACAAACTTAACTATATCTTTGAATATTGCACAATCCTTGAATATTTATGTTTAATTCGTATTCCAAACTTTATAATACCAGGTGAGTAATTGTAAAACGAAAGTGTATATTATCTGTTAAATGTCACCGCAGCAAGTGACGCGTGAATTTGAATAGCAAAATTTTCGAGCGCCATAATTTTCACGTTGTTCTCTCATCAATGAAATAAAGTGCGTGTCGCGCACGATGATTATACATTGGAAGCGCCCTGTAAAGTGTCACGCGATCGTCGTATTCCACCAATTAGTGCGCCCGTGATCGTAATTAACCGTGTTTTCGTGAGTGTCATGCAAAAGTGTCATAAAAGGGCAGCAAAGGAGAAGCAAGAGGGGAAAGAGAGGCATTGGGCGACAGCGAGGAGTAACTGTGAGATGAGTAATTTACAATTTATTTAATTTATTTTATTTGTTATTTTTTAAATTAAACGTCTCTTTCCACAGTAAGTGATCAATTTTATATTAATGCATAAATATAGTGTGTGTGTATATATAAATATAAAATATTCTCCGTGTATCTCTTACATATTTTCTAATTTATATAAAAAAAAAATCTGTCTTCTTTAAAAGTATCTTTCCAATTAACTTTATTTATTGTTAAATTCTCTTGCTCGCATCACAAAAAAAGAAGAGATAGAACTTACATTAAAGATATCGCTCACAACAGAGGTATAATCTGGAATCGAACGTTAGTTATTTTAGCGAGTTCAAACGCTCCAAGTTTTTCCAATTAATCTCAGTCCAGTCAGAAGGAAAGCGTTTGTGTTTTATTAACGACAAATAAACCGACGTTTTGATCCAAGGGTCTCTGATCGCAGTTCGAAATAATTGAAATTTAAGACGCGAAACGAGCGTACGAGCGGTGACTCTTCCTCGTCGTTGCCTCGACTCGATTCGATCCAATTAAGCGCGGCCCCGAGGGTCCCACGGAGTGCTGTCGGGAACTTCGATTCTCTTTTCGCCCTACTCTCTTCCCTCCTCTTTCTTTCCTTCTTCAGTCACTCCTGTCTTCCTGGAGACCTTTACTGTGTTAAAGAGGCGACATTCGAGTGCGAGCAAAAACTGGTCGAGACAACGAAACACGCTCCCATCTTTCCTGCGCGCGATATTCGTTACCTTAATTACATTCGGAACGTAAACCGCGTAATCAAAAAGGACGGCTTTACCTGCTCGCGAAGAACATTTTTCGACACGAAAAACGAAGTTTCGCGAAGCGACGCCTGATAAATTCGGTCTCGTACCTTTGTAAGATTTCACGTCGTTATATTTCTTATCATCGAAGATACTTCATTATGCGTTTGACACTCTACAAAATGTTTTTCATCGACCGTGTTTATTACGATAGAATAAATTTTATTAACAATCGATATAATTTTTATAATTTATGACACAATCAAATTATTTTGTCCAATTTTATTTTAATTTTTTATTTCTATTTTTTTGATAAAATTAGTCATTAATATTTTTCGAAATATACATTCGTCTTGTTTGACATTTGCTCGTAAAAAAGTGATACGATTAATCGCGAGATTAATCATCGTATAGTTAAGGATCTCGGTATTAATATGAGCAATAAAGATGAGTCATCATCAATGTTTCCAAGATTCTCTTCCGCCTTATTCTTGTTTCAATCTTGAGGTCGACATTTAGTTTTCGAAGGAACAAACGGGCAAACGCGAACTACAAGTAACGTCACCTCCATTAATCTTCCTCCTGCTCGGATTAGATTTAACCTAAGGGATTCTCACGATCTTGTCTCGACCGAAATTACGATCGCGACCTCTTCGTGACTCTGCATCATGAAAGCTGATTCATCTCGAAGGGGAACAATCCGGAATAATTGAAAATAGAACACATAAAATATTTAATAAATCAAATAATTTATGTACCAACTCTATGGAATCTATTATTACATTAAATCTATATTGAAATAGTACTTGTTGGTAACAGCAACCAAGATTGTATAATGATTAATTAATTACGTAATACTTCTTTTTCCTTTCTCTCGAGGCGAAACGTGATTATGCGTTTGCGCCAATTGCAGAGCAATGCTATTGACGCGCATGTTTCGAGCCGCGAGCTTGAAGATAGGCAACGAACAATAATCCGACAAAGAATAATGGATAGCAATGAGGTATTGTCCCGTGTCGCTTTCAACGAGTCCAATTAAAGCGCGTCCTTCCGTCGGCTTAAAGTCAGAGACGCGGTGGAGTTTTTTCACCGGCAACGAGTGGGATGGAGAATTGTGTAACCCTAGGTTTCAATAATAAAAGTCTCGTTACGTTTTGCGTTTACGCTCGCTATAAATTATCACGTTTCCCGTCCGAATGTTTTTTTTTGTCCGATAGCGATTGCGCGTCGCGGAATAATTAAAGCATAACGAATTGACAATGTGGTAAAATTCGTATTGATTTTCCCGCGACCTTTTCTGTTCCCAACAATATATCATATTTACCGATATTATATTAGGTCTACCGGAAAGTTCTGTCCGTTTTTGGAATAAAACAAAATACAAATTTTTATTACCGTCAATAAACTTTATTAAATAATGTAATTGCCATTATTATTAATGATTTCTTGCCAGCGTGAGGGCAATTTGTATATCCCATTTTCGAAAAATGTTTTATCTTTTGATGCGAAAAATTGAACCAGTGCTTGTTTGATATCTTCTTCATTTTTTAATTTTTTGCCCCTCAAAAAATTTTGTAAGGACAAAAACAAGTGATAGTCGGTGGGTGCTAAGTCCGGGGAATATGGTGGATGCGACAGAATTTTCCAGCCTAGTTCTGCAATTTTTTGACGAGTATCCAAAGCAGCATGTGGCCTGGCATTATCATGATGCAGTATGATGTTCTTCCTATTGTACATCGCCGGCCTCTTTTCTTGGACTGCTGTATTTAAATTATCCAGTTGCTGACAATACTTCTCCGAATAATGGCAATTACATTATTTAATAAAGTTTATTGACGGTAATAAAAATTTGTATTTTGTTTTATTCCAAAAACGGACAGAACTTTCCGGTAGACCTGATATATATGTATAGGTATTATGTAATGTTTTATAAATTAATTGTATTTTTATCATAAATCTCTAATCTTTTAGAATTTTCCTATCATACTCAAAAATATATTGACAAAATATTCTCAATGCTTACGCGATTATACACTTAATCAATACCTTTAGTCTTACTTTGTTCCCGTACCAACAATAAATAAGAATTTGTAAAGCCATACAGAATGTGTATAGCATTAGTGGAATATATTCCGCGCTCAATGTTATCTTCGCCATTTTATACAAATTGGAGCACACCACTAGCATGCTCACTGTGAACTGGACGGCAATTATAACCCTGAATTTTTCGTTTACCATGTATGCAAATCTACGAAAGAAAAATATTATTAGTTTATTTTTTTTAATTATTATATTATTGCAAAACTTACAATAAAATATAAGTAATAACTGATTAAATTAGATAATCCTGTTTTAATTAATGTATAATTTAAATCTAAAACCAAGTATATAATAAATCAAAGCATGCAATCTAACTTTAAAAAAATGCAAGTTTATTATTATTTTAGAAATATATTAATCTATTGTCACATAATTCATGTTTTAATTTCATAATAGTCTTAATCAATTCTAACTCAGCGTACTTTTTTATAAAATGCATATTATATTTTATAGCAATGTAATAATTTGAAAAAAGTGCTATAAAACGATTAAAATATTTTTTAACATTATCATATTTTTGATTAATTAAAAAAGTATTTAAATTATGCACGTAAAATATATAGAAGAACTGACTTATAGATATGGTTGTGTTCATGTACACATTCACCCAAATTGCCTCGACCGCGTAAGCATTTCTTCAACCGACACTGCAAGATCTCAATCTGGCAATAAATATGCAGCAGCAATCCGCAGATCAGACAGTCACAGGCAACGTTCACGACGGATGCAGCCGTCAGGCTTATTAATTGACGAAAGTAAATAATATAAAACATTATGCCGGATGAATACTCATATGGTATCCACTCCCTGTATGCTAAATTTCCTCTCCGGAAGTCCGTAAAAAAGGACGATATATTCATGCACGTACATGTCGTCTCGATCATGATAGCATACAGTATAGTATTGGTCCTGCAAAATGACTATAGGTGCTGGGATAATTCGCGACGATTTTGCTTTGTATTTTTCTCCTTTATTTAAAACAAGAAGAAATATACTTTTTTTATTTAGATGGCAAAAAAAGAAAAATATTTTATTTATTTATTTTTCTTTTATTAAAAGTATCATATTTTGTATTTTTTTGCCATACTTATTGAGATTCTAAGTGCATGTCAAACTTATTACTTATATTAATTCTAACGTTTATTTCAAAATTATTATGAAATTGATGCAGTCATAAAACACATTAAAAAATTAAAATATATAGGTATCTTTGATAAAACACATAAAAATAAACACAAAGCATTTACTGCAGCACATAAATGTTTCAGTTGCTTACTGTATGATGTTGTCGAATTTCTGTCGAATTTCGATCTCATCCGATTCCAGTGGCCTAAATGGTTTCTCCATTAACGCATTGGTTAATATCTCGATGTTTTTGCGATTTATTAGCAGACTGAGCATCTTGGCACAAGCCATCACCATAGCCAGCATTAGGTAAAGAGTATCCGTGAAATCGTCGGGATTTTTGATATGTATGATGACATCCACGAATTGTGGCACCATAAAGGTGAGCAGTAGTAAACTTACGAGAATTGTATAGGTGTTGTATGCTATTTGTTTGCACAGCGAGGACCAGGAAACTGGTGGCCAACATCCTGCCACCATAAGAATTTTCAACGGAACTTGCATAACACGCATTTCTTGAAATTTCTTACTCGAATTTTCTTGTATTAAATTAAATGCCTATAATGTTTTATATTGTATTTCTACAATTCATATATGCTGTAATATAAAATTATAAAAAAATAATTTAAAAAAGAAAAAACAATATATTTATAAAATTTTTAAATGTTGTAAATCTACATAAATTTATTACTTTAAAAAACCATATTATACAAAAATGCAGCTCTTAACGTTATATAAAAATATTGCACTTTGTCGACAATTTAGATAGACAATAAATAGACTTTACTTTTCTTTTAATTCTAATAAACAAGATATCAAATAAATAAGATTTGATTTTTATATTTGTATGCAATAATTTGAGAGAAATTGTTTTTTTTTTTAAATTCTAACGAATTAAAATTACTCTTGCATGCAAATATCTTATTCGTATGTGAAAAATATCAAATAGTCTCGTAGATCTTGCATACACACCGATATTTTTTAAAACAATAATACGAACTTCCGAAGAATCTTACAATGTCTATAGCCATGCGACGTGACTCTCTTTACTCAATTGTCTGTCTAACTTTACTCTTCGTATTCGATGGATGTGTAATTATAGTAATACCGAACTCTCGCAATATATTTCGATCAATACAATAATCTTATAAAATAATATGCATAGCTATGTGTTTCTTCTCTTTTGCAGGCTTTACATGATACACAACGATATAAATGCAATGTTATATTAAAACGCAAAAAAGAGAAATAAGGAGAAGCCTATGGACAACTAAAAGCTTGATAAACCATGCATTGCGATCGTCATAAAATCTTGATGCAGGTGATGTATACTTACTTGGAAAATACGGAATTTGTTACTGTCATCAGCTCCGCCTCATGTTAGACTATCATTGTTAATTCTGCGCCTTATATCGATCTATTCGTAATTCTGACAGAATACAAGCGAGTCCAAGAATTCATTAAATATATATACAATATAGGTAGAGTAAATCTAGTGCGTTAGGAAAATATATCTAGTGATACATATTCAGTCGCTATTTCAGTGTTAGCAAAGATGCATTTTATTTATTACCTTTGGAGAATCACATTTAAATTTATATATATTGTGATTTCTGTTAACGCCATTAAAATGAACTAATAACTGTAGATTGTATATAATTATTTATATTTGTTAGATAAAGAATGCGCGTTTTGAAAAAAACTCGATATTATAATTTATTTTTTATATACATAATTACATTACATAAACTATATGTATACTATAGTGTGTTAATTATCCCAGTAACAAATATTGTGAAAATATTGACTTCTCTCTCACGCGATTATTTAGGTAAGATTTTCTTGTTTCATTATCACAATATTAAAATATTTACACGTATTAATTACTTATTTTTCTGTATTATAACGTTATGTGGTAACAGATAAAATTGAAGTAATTAATATTAATTATAGCTTTATATGCAATTTAATTGAAAAACATTATGGCTAACCTCTGCACTATTTTCCGCTTAAATTATGTTGTTCCTACTTGCTGCAGTAAATTATAGGCCGTATATGATGTCTTAAGTAACTGAAAGACAAAAATGTGAACATTTTTAATTTTATTTCTAGATTGCTCTTTCTCTCTTTTCGTCTCTTTCATAAACTACTGATATTATAATTATTTCTGCCATAACAAAAAAAGAAAAATATTTTATAAAAATTGATTTTTTTATATAAACAATAATCTAATAAAATATAATTGAAAAAATATGCATCAAAAAGATTTTATATGTATATCATTAATTTTTCTAAAGACTATAATAGTTATGGTCTCTCTACGTGATAATGATTTAAGATACTAACACTTACGAAAGAGTCGAGATTCATCGTGAGAATATATCCGCAAGAAAATTCAATAGGTACTAACGAGCGATTCATAATAATTAATAAACTTTGTGTTCCGCTTTGATCCAGTGTTAGCCATTTCATTTTGAAGATATTAGCGGTTAGTTCGATGCTCTATATAAAGAATATGACATGTGCATAAATTAAAATATTATATGCAACTTTTGCGGCAAAAATTATAGATTTCTCTTTTTATTTCAATTACATTCGAGTTTTTGTTAAGTATATTAGAAGTTCTTTTTTATCTCAAATATTTTTAAATATCGTATATAACAGCAATATGTTTACACTCAGCTTTCAAGAATATACGCATAAATCGTACCTTTAGCTTAACTTCGTTTCCATACCAACAATAGATAAGAATCTGCGTCAACATAGAGCATGTGTATAATATCAATGGAAATGATTGCGCGCTCAACGTTATTTTTGCTAGTTGATATAAGTTGGAGCAAACCACTAGCGTGCTCACTATAAACTGAATGCCAATAATCATCTTGAATTTTTCATTTACCATAAGCGCGAACCTGCAAAAGCAAAGTATATTAAGAAAAACGTATTTATCTAAAAATATTTGCGTGGATTTTTCATTTTGAAGATATTTAATGCTCAATACATTCGTACGTAGTATTATTTAAATGAACGACTACGTAAGTCCTATTCTTCATAATATTTTTTTTCTTAATTTACACAATTTACAAGATTGTATTTAAGAAAAAACTAACTTAAATATACTGTTGTGCTGACGTACACATTCACGCATATTATATCGACCGAGCGAGATCTTTTTCAACCGGCACTCGAGTATCTCGATTTGACAACACACGTGCAATAGTAGACCGCAGATCAGAGTATCGCAGGCTACGTTCACCAAAGACCCGAACGTCGAGCTCATTAACTGACGAGCGTATATCACGCAGAACATCATTTCGGAGTAGTTGTACGGTGTCCACTCCCTGTACGTTAGATTGCCATTTCGAAAATTCGTGAATAATGACGTCAGCATCACGCACGCACACGTCGTCTCGACCAGGATTACGTACCATAAAGTATTGGTTCTATAAAATGATTGAGCGTTTTATTCCGAACATTTTTCTTGACGCTATTATTTTCTCTGGATTGTAACTTAATTATCATTTTTTTTAACGTTTTATATATATTTGTAAAAGAAAAAATTATTTTTTATATACTTACTGTATTGTCTTCTCGAATCTTTGTCGAATTTCTATTTCGTCAGCTTCCAACGGCATAAATGGTTTCTGAATAAGAGTATTGATTAATGTCTCAATATTCTTGCGATTTATCAAGAGACCAGTCATTTTACAAATAGACATGACCATGGCGAGCATGATGTAAAAAGTATCCGCAAAATCGTCGGTATTATCGACATTCAGAATAATATCCATAAGTTGAGGCAACATAAAGGTGATTAACAACAATGTTACAAAAACTGTATATGCGTTATATACAGTACGTTTGCAAAATGATGTCCAAGAACTTGGCGGCCAGCATCCCACAACCATAAGAATTTTTAGTGTAATTTCAAGAACTTGCATCTTCTGAATTCTTAATTGCATTCTCGATTAAATCAAATAACACATAGTTTTACTTAACATAGTAATTTAATAAATAATGTATTTAATCATATTAATTTAAATAACGATCTAAAGATTTTTTTCTGTTAAATAATATTATAAAAAAGAACTGGCAAAAATCAGCAAATTAAATTACCGTCAGAGTATTATGCTTTATGATTATGTTTAATCAATTTCAAATTTATAAAACACTAAATTTTCAATGCACAGATAGATGTACAAAATATAATATATAAATAATCTAAAATAGAATAGATAAATAAAAGATTCCACATGTCATAAGCAGTATTGAGTCATAATTATATTGCCATGAATACCAGAATTAAAAAACTCCGTATTTTGCTATATGTGAAATACGTATACACATATGACTCTGCCTTTTTTGTCGCTCCCCTATCAATAACACCGTAAACCTATTCCGCGAAACTTCAACCAACCTCAGAATGTCTATAGCCACATGTCACGACTTTCTAACGACTATTGTTCGTCTAGCTTCCCCTCCGCGTTTGGCAACTATATAATTATCATTATATCAAATTTGCAATGTTGTTTTTTCCCTCTTTTATGCTACAATATACGAGACGGTTTTTAAATGCAAATTTTATGCGACAACCATTTAATATTACGATACAATCAAATAACGTAGCGGAAAAAATGCAGGAAACTAAAGTCATCCTGGAACTATAAGTTACGTTTTATTTCCATAAAATTGCAATATGTATGCAAGTAATTCATCAATTTAGTCAATTAATAAATATTTAGCGTTGCTGTAACTGTAATTTTTATCTAGCTATATCTGTCATTCTTTTCTATATTCTAGTCAATTCCGGTTCTAATATTATATGTAATATTTCTTAGATATGAAATGCACATTTTGAAAAAAAAACTCAGTATCATAATTTATTTTACATATATAATTACATTACATAAATTATATTTATATTATAGTGTTAATTATTCCATAAACAAATATTGTAAAAATATTGACCTTTCTCACGATTATTTAGGTAAGATTTTCTTATTTCATTATCACAATGTTAAAATATTTACACGTATTAATCAATTATTATTTATTTGTATTATAATGTTATGTGGTAACAGATAAAATTGAAATAATTAATATTAATTAGCTGTTATATGCAATTTAATTGGAAAACATTATGGCTAACCTCTACACCATTTTCCGCTTAAATCATGTTGTTCCCATTTGCTGCACTATGTTATAGGCCGAATGTGATATCTTAAGTAACTGCAATACAAAAATGTAAACATTTTTAATTTGATTTCTAGATTGCTCTTTTTTTCTCTTTCATAAAATATTGATGTTATAATTATTTCTGCCATAACAAAATAGGAAAATATTTTATAAAAATTGATTTTTTTACATAAAACAACAATCTAATATAGTATAATTGAAAAAAATTCCCATCAAAAAGATTTTATATGTATATCATTAATTTTTCTAAAGACTATAATAGTTATGGTCTCTCTACGTGATAATGATTTGAGATACTAACACTTACGAAAGAGTCGAGATTCATCGTGAGAATATACGCGCAAGAGAATTCAATAGGTACTAACGAGCAATTCATAATAATTAATAAACTTTGTTTTCCACTTTGATCCAGTCTCAGCCATTTCATTTTGAAGATATTAGGGGCTAGTTCAATGCTCTATATAAAAAATATGACATGTGCATAAATTAAAATATTATATGCAATTTCTGCAGCAGAAATTACAGATTTCTTTTTTTATTTCAATTACATTCGAGTTTTTGTTAAGTATATTAGAAGTTCTTTTTTATCTCTAATATTTTTGTAAATATCATACATAACACAATATGTTTAACTCAGCTTTCAAGAATATACGCATAAATCGTACCTTCAGCTTAACTTCGTTTCCATACCAACAATAGATAAGAATCTGCGTCAACATAGAGCATGTGTATAATATCAATGGAAATGATTGCGCGCTCAACGTTATTTTTGCTAGTTGATATAAGTTGGAGCAAACCACTAGCGTGCTCACTATAAATTGAATGCCAATAATTATCTTGAATTTTTCGTTTACCATTAGCGCGAATCTGCAAAAGCAAAGTATCTTGAAAAAAACATGTTTATCTAAAAATATTTGCGTAACTTTTTTATTTTAAAGATAATTAATGTGACACGCTCAATACATTCGTACATAGTATTATTTAAATTTTAAATGAACAACTACGTAAGTCCTATCCTCTACAATATTTTTTTTCTTGATTTATACAATTTGCAAGATTGTATTTAAGAGAAAACTAACTTAAATATATTGTTGTGCTGACGTACACATTCACGCATATTAGTTCGACCGAGCGAGATCTTTTTCAACCGGCACTCGAGTATCTCGATTTGACAACACACGTGCAATAGTAGACCGCAGATCAGAGTGTCGCAGGCTATGTTCACTAAAGACCCGAACATCGAGCTCATTAACTGACGAGCGTATACCACGCAAAACACCATTTCGGAGTAGTTGTACTTCGGTGTCCACTCCCTGTACGTTAGATTGCCTTTTCGAAAATTCGTGAATAATGACGTCAGCACGATACACGCACACGTCGTCTCGATCAGGATTGCGTACCATAAAGTTTTGGTTCTATAAAATGACTGAGCGTTTTGTTACGAACATTTTTCTTGACGCTATCGTGTTTTCTAAGTTGTAATTTAATTATCGTCAAAGAGAATCTTTTTTTAACATTTTATATATATTTGTAAAAAAAAAATGTTTTTTTGGATACTCACTGTATTGTCTTCTCGAATCTTTGTCGAATTTCTATTTCGTCGGCTTCCAGCGGGATAAACGGTTTCTGAATAAGGATATTGGTTAATGTCTCTATATTCTTGCGATTTATCAAGAGACCGATCATTTTGCAAATAGACATGACCATGGCGAGCATGACGTAGAAAGTATCCGCAAAATCGTCGGTATTATCAACGTTCAGAATAATATCCATAAGTTGAGACAACATAAAGGTGAATAGCAAGAATGTTACAAAAACTGTATATGCGTTATATACAGTACGTTTATAAAATGATGTCCAAGAACTTGGCGGCCAGCATCCCGCAACCATAAGAATTTTTAGTGTAATTTCAAGAACCTGCATCTGTTGAGTTCTTAATTGCATCCTCGAGAATATATCAAATAAAACATTGGTAATATATAATATATATTAAACCATTTTATTTAACATAATTTAATAAATAATGTATTTAATCATATTAATTTAAATAATAATCCAAAGATTTTTTTTTATCAATAATATTATAAAAAAGAACTGGCAAAAATCAGCAAGTTAAATTACCGTCGAAGAATATTAATTGCTTTATGATTATGTTTAATTAGTTTTAAATTTCTAAAACATTAAATTTTCAATGCACAGATAGATGTACAAAATATAATATATAAATAATCTAAAATAGAATAGATAAATAAAAGATTCCACATATCATAAGTAGTATTGAGTCATAATTATAATGCCACGAATACCAGGATTAAAAAATTCTGTATTTTGTTATATGTGAAATACGTATACACATATGACTCTGCTTTTTTTGTCGCTCCCCTATCAATAACACCGTAAACCTATTCCGCGAAACTTCAACCAACCTCAGAATGTCTATAGCCACATGTCACGACTTTCTAACGACTATTGTTCGTTTAGCCTCCCCTCCGCGTTCGGCAACTATATAATTATCATTATATCAAACTCGCAATGTTGTTTCTTCCCTCTTTCATGCTACAATATACGAGACTATTTTTAAATGCAAATTTTATGCGACAACCATTTAATGTTACGATACAATCAAATAACGTAGCGGAAAAAATGCAGGAAACTAAAGTCATCCTGGAACTATAAGTTATATTTTATTTCCATAAAATTGCAATATATGTGTATGCAAGTAATTCATCAATTTAGTCAATTAGTAAATATTTAGCATTGCTGTAACTGTTTTTATCTAGCTATATCTGTCATTCTTCTCTATATTCTAGTCAATTTCTAAGTCTAGTCCGTTTCTAATATTGATTTGAATATGTGGTTATATGTAGTTTCTGTTTATTAATAACATTATACATTAATATATAATGTTATATTATATATTATTATTATGTTATATTATATTATGATGTAATATTATATATATACATCCTGCCGTTTTGTCCACGCAAATAGTTGCGTGTGATATGCATACTTTCACAAATATTAATAATCAGTAAATCTAGTAATTTGCAAAAAATACATTGAAAAGCATTGTAGTAATTTGTCTTTATTTTATTTATCTTTTGCTTACAATATTTCTACACTTGTTTTAATAAATTATAAACAGAGTATGACGTCTTAAGTAACTGCAACAAAAATATGCGTGCGTTATATCTTATCTCATAATTCTAAAAATTTTACAATTTCTTATTTCTTAATGTTAAATAAAATATATTATAGTTTGTTCCAAAAAAGAAAATAAAAATATATTTTCATATATTAAGGACAAATTAAAAAATTATAAATAAATTTGTTTACTAACCCCAACGAAAGAATCGAGGTTCATGGAAAGAACGTAAGCGCTGGTAAACTCTATTGGTGTTATTGCGCGATTCATAATTATTAATAGGCTTTCTTTAAGATCTCTGTCCAGTGCTAGCCAATTTATTCCAAAAATATTGTACATTAGTTGAGTGCTCTATTTTTAAGAAGTCTCATTAAAATCATTCAATTTTTTTAATTTAATTTTTTATAAAAACTTTTATTTTATTAATCTGCATAAGTATTAATCTGCGATTCGGAAGCAAACATATGAAACAATGCACTTGATTACGCGCACCTTTAATTTTACTTCGTTTCCGTACCAACAATAAATAAAAATTTGTGTCAACATGCAAGACATATACAGTAGTAAGGAAAGATAACTCGCATTTACAGTTGATGATTTAGTCATCTGATACAAATTGGAGCATACCACCATCGTACTTACGATGAATTGCATGGCGATAGTCATTCTGAACTTGTTGTTCAATCTGAATGCATATCTGCAATAAAACAAACATTAAACTGTGACGGTATCCTTACTAAACACTTTTCTTGATCAAAAGAATTTTATATTTAAAAATATATAACAGCAATATATATAAATGTGTACATATATCGAAAAATTTATTTTTCCCAAGAAAAATAAATTTTATATATATATAATATATATGTAATAATTTTTTTAATAAATTGCAAACACACGCACACGCACACAAGATATGTTTTCTAAATAATAAAATGACTAACTTAAATATACGGTCATGGTGACATACACAATCGCGAAGATTATTATGATCATTGGATATTTTGCTGAGTCTGTATTCTAAAATCTCGATCTGACAGCAAATATGCACCAATAATCCACAAATGAGACTGTCGCAGGCTACGTTGACGAGCGATCCGGCTGTTAAGCTAATAAGTTGATGAGCGTACGTGAGGCAAAACACGATATTAGACGAATTGTAATTATATGGTAGCCATGCTCTATACGTCAAGCTCCTTTTTCTAAATTCTGTGAGTAAAGATGTCATAGTGATGCATGCACAGGTTGTTTCTACCAAAATCGTATAGCAGACTGTGTTGGTACTGTAAAATGATGCTGTGGAGATGTGTAATGCTCACTTGAATAATTGAGCTCTTAATATTTAGTGACACGTTATCAAAGAAAAGTCTGTTTGTGATAGAAAATCTCTTATAATTATATTATGCTGAGAAAGAGTTTTGTTTTGTTACATAAAATATATGTACCTGTTCCTTCTAATATTAGAAATTTTATTTTAATTAAAAAAAAAAAGAAATCGTTTTTTTTACATTAAAGAGAAATTAACTTTTTTTTTTTAAAGTTAATCTGTATTCTTATGCAGTAACACTTACTATATGAATCTGTCGAATTTATATCGTATTTTCATTTCATCGACGTCCAACGGTTTATACGGTTTTTCGTCAAGTATGTTGGTTAACGTATTAATGTTATTCCGATTTACCATGAGACTGAGCATTTTGGAGCACGAGACGACCGACGCCAATGTAGCGTAGAAATTTTCAGTGAAATCTTCGGCATTATCGACATTCCAAATAATGTCCAAAAATTGAGATACCAAAAATGTATACAGTAATATAATCATGAAAACTGTATAAGCGTCATAAACTATGTGCATAGACAATGATGACCATGACTCCGGTCGCCAACATCCAACAATTGTCAAAAGTTTAAAAGTAAATTGTAAAACACGCATCTTTTAAGTATGCTAAATACATTTAAAAATGGAAAATGTATTGATTATACGCGAAAAATATATATATAAGTATTTTTACAATAATCTGTAAATGTATAATTATATAATAGAAAAACACAATATTAATTAATATATAATGTACATATTTTACTTTCGATGAAATAGCACATTTACAGTTAGTATTCCATTAAAGATACTGAGCTATTGCCTAAAATAAATTATTAATTTATTATATTAATTTAGTTTTATATCATTATATATACCTTATCACATATTATAGTCCTAAATAATTCATGATTTTTATACCTATAATTTTATCTAAATTTTTTTATTTATAAATCGTCAGAAAAAAATTTTTCCGAATATTCATTTGCTGCAATGTTCCTAGAGATATAGAACACGATCTTTAAAATAAACAGGTTGTGAGAAACGAAAGTAAGATGACTTACGGATGATTGAGAGTGGCGTAGAATGTTTGTAGCACTTCAAAAATCTTCTTTTTTCTCTAATATTCTCTCTGTATTTCTTCATCTATATTATTACGTCATTATCATAATATCGGACTTGCATTATTGATCCCGTGAAAATACTTCTATTGTAGATCTCTGAAAATTTAGCTTTTATTTCTATGATAATACCGTTTCCAGATACGAATATGATGGAACTAGAAGAAGTTGAATGTCATTGGTTACCTTATCTTCATAAAATCTTAAGTAGCTAAATTTATTACTCGCTATTATACTTAAAAAACTATCGTTGCTGTTTTGCGTGTTATTGAATAGTCACTGCACAGTCCTTCTTTCTCCCTATCGATTTTAGACATTGCGACTTCTGACCCACAAGAGACATTTCGAGTACAATACAAGTGCGACGTGTCATAAAAGACAATAAAAGTAAAAACTTACACAATATAAATTCTTTTAACATAAATGAAATGTTAATAAAATAAATGTAAAATAATATATAAATAAAGCAAAAATATATATAATAATAAAATAAATAATGCGCATGTATCGTTTATATAAATAATTTTTCTTTGTTTTTCTAATAACACTAATAACTAT